GCTACACTTTGTTTTTGAGGCTCACCAACAAGATTTTGAAGTGAAAAAAAAAAATGTTATGGCAGGTAATGGCAATGCCTGCACCAAGCTTAAAATCCTAGCACAACATGCCTACTAATCTACTTCCAACAGGCCCTGTGCTACAGGCATACGAACTAGGCACAATTCAACAGTTTGTGCAAACACCCATTCCAGTGCGTAACAATAGGAAAGGTCATAGGAAAAGGTTCCGTTGTTTTAATAACGAAATATGGACATAGATATGCATACTATAGGCAACTACCAATACCCAAAGGATTGCTGATTAATTTTGTTGAAAGTGAGTTTGATATGATGCGGGTAATGACGAAGTAGCGTCGAAAGAAGTATGGAAGGGAATATTGGCCTGTATTAGTTTTATGCCAAACTTCTTTACCGATAAGAATCTTAGTAGAGATAGTATTTTATTTACTTCTAAATTAGACGCTTATTTTAGGAAATATGATTAGTGTTTGATTGTATAGATTCTATAGTATTTTCCTATTTCAATTAAGATTAGTTCAAACCCTATATAAAGGGGGCTTATGCATTGTAATACTTACGACTTAGATGAATTAAATAAAGATACTTCATCTCCCTTAAATTCTGCTTCCGTTAATCATTCAATAGAATGAATTTCACTCATTTCATACGGGAGGGAGAAGAGGTGAGGGTGCCTACCCTCTTTCAATTCAATACAGTTGGAGGGAAATTTCTCCAAACTGTATCTACCCGCCTGAGCAAATTGTCAGGGCAGCGGTAATGACAGCTGAAGCAGGTCCGCCTCTCAACTTACGGCCTTTACGCTACTACTACTGCCTCCCTTTCTATCTCACTCTTTTCTTCTCTTTTTTCCCTCATTTCTTCTCCTCTCCTCTTTTTCCTTCCATAATTCTACTATTTGGTTTTATTACGCTTTACATCAATATTGTATTAGAGCCTAATTGTTTTCCTTTGACCAGATTTTAGTTCACCACGAGAAATATTCTGCAGCAGCTAACCAAAAACAACTCATGTTCAACCACCAACAAAACCATATCAAACCACTAAAGAAAGGCTCTCCAACCACCAACAAATCCAGTTTCATCCAAACAGCCAAAACCCACTTTAAACCATAAAAAAAGGATGCAGCAGCAATTTATTTTTTTGTTTCTTTAACTTTCGCTCATCGTTCCTAGCTTTGTTCCAAAAAAAGGGGAAAAACAAAAGAGAAAAGATTCGTCTATGCTAAGTTTCCTCCTGCTGCTACAGTTTCAGACTCTCCAAAAGGGTCGACGTTTGGCCCAATCTCATCCCAACCCACCACTCCACATATAGCCACAAGCCTGCTGCAACTTTATATACATTGCACAAATCAATAGAAGCATGACCCACAAATCTCAACTCCAAACAGCCATATAACTCTTTTAACCAAAACTAGCTGACACTCCACTAACCTCTCCAAAGGGACCAATGCCAACCCGCTACCACAACCCACAAACCTTTTTCATTACCCTGCTTCTCGACCATATGTCCACACCCTGCTTCCCGAAAATCCTTAATGGAGCGGAGATGGTAATGTTGCCCAGCCTCACCCTGTTGGCATCCTAACTTCGAGGGTGCAACTGTGTTTTGTGAACTCAATTTGAAAACCAGTTACCTACAAATACGATTCTGCCTGATTCTTTCGGCCTATCTAATCGACATCCGCATTCACGTAGATCATGAATCAAACTCAACATTGTTTCTCAAAAAGTTTAGTATTCTATTTTGCCAAAAGCATTTTTTTCCTCATATCTGGTGTTGTTCTTAAGGTATGTTTATTTCCAATTACGAGATCCAATGGATTTGATGAAAGTGAAAGCCATTCAATCATGGCCTACACTATTTTCCATTAATGATGCCCGTAGCTTCCATAGGTTTATGTTTATTTTATATTAATATAACACAACATATCCAATGAAGGTGGAAGTTATTAAGCCATGATGGCCTTGACTTTCCATTAATGATGTCCATAGCTTCCATGGGCTTCCGTCGTTTTACCAACATTCTATTCATCATGCCTGTGGCATCACTGCCTCATCACAAATTGTATTTGTAGTGGAAAACTTGTATGCATATGTAAAGTATATGCTTTGATCCAACAGAAATTACCTACAACACCCATTCTACTACTCCACAATTTGTGCAAACCTTTCGAACTCAATTGTGATGTAAAAGTAGGCATATACTACTATTAGAAGTTGACGGGGCCCTTCTCACTATAGCACTTGTGACGTCAAGTATTACACATTTATCCGGGCTTTACAACATTAGCGCCATTACATCTTTCAACACAAATTGTAAAGCTTTTACAAACCAAGAGTTGCTAAAACAATTGGCTACTGAAGACACGATTTCCGGTAGACATGCTTCTTGGGCTTCCTATTTACAATAATTTACATTTAATCTCTGCAAATACTACTCCATTCTCACTGCCAAAAAGTACTATGGTTGGATTGTTTATGTGATCTCTACCACATTGATCGAGTGCCTGATCGAATTGATTAGGTCATGTAGGAACAAGGTTCAAGTCTACCGGTCTGTTAGGATGCCTTAACTGCATACATCACTGCACTTCCACTTTGACACCTTTGGATTGTTTCTGTGATCTCTACCACATTGATTCTTTCTTTGGTAAATTATTACACGGCTGGCCACTGATGCCTCCGTCTATGTGATGTAGGGTGGGTACTTAGTTATTCGACATCAACTCAACATACCATACAACAGCCTCCAACAGAAAATTATTTGTAAATGACATCGTGAACGACGTTGAAGTGACATAACCTTGGAGTTAATAGCGAGTTCATACTTTTGGCGGGTGAAAGTAGCTAAGCTTGTGATGCGGTGTCGGGTGTTTTCAAACTCGCTAAAGGAACTGCCTCAAATGCATGCTTAATATGTCCTTTACAATTCCTTCCCAACCATGCATCGACGTCAATATGGCTTTGTATTTAAAAAAGATATAGTCTACCGGTCTGTTAGGATGCCCTAACTGCATACATCACTGCACTTCCACTTTGACACCTTTGGATTGTTTCTGTGATCTCTACCACATTGATTCTTTCTTTGGTAAATTATCACACGGCTGGCCACTGATGCCTCCGTCTATGTGATGTAGGGTGGGTACTTAGTTATTCGACATCAACTCAACATAGCATACAACAGCCTCCAACAGAAAATTATTTGTAAATGACATCGTGAACGACGTTGAAGTGACATAACCTTGGAGTTAATAGCGAGTTCATACTTTTGGCGGGTGAAAGTAGCTAAGCTTGTGACGCGGTGTCGGGTTTTTTCAAACTCGCTAAAGGAACTGCCTCAAATGCATGCTTAATATGTCCTTTACAATTCCTTCCCAACCATGCATCGACGTCAGATACCGAAACATAAATTTTTTCTATTCAATTAAGCTAACTCTCTCAAGAATCAAAGTGACTTTGTTAAGTTATAGGCAACTAAGACATAATACTCCGTATAACTTTGTCAAAATCAAAGAACCAACCTACTAGAAAGACACCATCCTTCAAAAACACAAAAGTTGTACACATTAAACAAGCATGAAAACTGCCACTGTACAAATTTATGTAAGTTGTAATTAAATTAATAAATGAAACTTTATAACCTTTCAAAAATCCAGCTCATAATTTTTTTTCCTTTCTAGAATTTGATGCATATGAAGTATTAATTGAAACCCTAGGTTTCAAGTCCTATATAAGCATATTATATGTGATCCTAATTGCCCCGCCGCTACACCTCTTTCTTCTATATTTCCCTTTCTCCTCTCTTTGGAAAGGCATAAAACAAAGAGCTCATCCGGCCATCATTCGTTCCGACCAATTATGTTGTTTTCAGTTTCGGTGAGTTTTCCTGTCTAGTATTATGTTGTTTATATAACTATATATAGAATTCTTTTTCTCTCACAGAAAAGGTGGGAAGTCATTTATGTATTCCTCATATCTATACATGCATACTGCATTGTACAAATATCACTAAATTGATGTTTTTGTTTCCCTAGACTACAAAACTGAAAATTTGTGCTCTCTTTGCGTGTAATTTTTGAAATTCAGGAATATATATACGAACATCAGGCATATATACTTATAAACAATTGATCTAGACATACATATACATAAAGACATGTACATATCCTATAAACATGTATCTCTCTACATAAAGATCTGTGATACCATCAGATTTTATACAAGTAAATGTATCACATTTTCTTTATTTCGGAATTTATAAGCGTCAAGCATACTAGTGTGATACATGTCCTTGGTGTGGGGAACCTTTTGGTTATTTTAAGAAAATATGGCATTGGGTGATCATATGTGAATGCAATCAATCCCTAATAAATGACAATGGGCAATAAAAGTTATCAATCCTTCCAGCCCATATCCATAAAAAGGGAATTTTTCTTTGAACACCTTAGACACAACCTTTGGATCAGTTCGAATTTTATAGTCTTATTATTAATTTTCTTGATGCAAAATATAAAAGATTATATTTATTAAGATAGTAAATGGAGAAAGGTAGCCCATCACACATACTTCCTATTATTGCTTTTCTATAAGAGGTTAGCAATAAAAAAGCCCAGAAAAGAAAAGAGAAATGAATGCACACCATAGCCTCCCTAATGCTTAGACCTTGAGGTGTAAACCTAATAAATGGCACTAAAGCGTAAATTTCAAGGCATTTAATGAAGCCTCGCATGAAACGGGAGTCAAGGCACTAGCCTCAAATAGCTTTATTAAGAATAGACCCCAAGTTAATTTTATACACACTACAAGATATCCTGTGTTTCACTGTTTCACTTGATAACTAGTAATATAGTAAAATATAACATAAAGAGTATAAATATAAAAAGATTTATTAGTTATCGGTAATTCTATTTACTATCATAACATGTTATTATTAGCTATATTAATTGTTTGAGGGCCTGTACAATGATGCAGTGTCAGATGCCGGGACGGCTGAATCATCATCTGCCAATGCCTGATGTTGACAGAGACATCCACTCTGTTTCAGAAGAGTGGAATATGTATCCGTTTCCACACGACGTGCGTGGCATGCTTAATAATCCAGACAACATGCCCAATCTAGACGCTATAATACAGAGGATGAATCTTACAGTTGCCGCTTTTACTTCTATCCTTGCCACTGCAACGGCTAGGGAGCAGTATTATATTCTGGGTGAGAATTTATGTCCTCTTGTTGAGGAATTGGAGCACGATAATGCACTAAAAATTACAGGTATGCTTCTGGAGCTTCCCCTGGCAGAAGTTCTGCATTTGCTTGTATCAGAGGATGCTCTGAATGCGAGAGTTGCCGAGGCTATGGAAGTCCTGATGGGAGCTCCGCTGGCTAGCAGCTCGGCTGACCAAGCAGATTCACATTCACCAGTGATAACCTTGTTTCTTGGGTGCCTTTCGTGGTTTGGGGCCATCTGGAACCAACTCTTTTCTAGTGAGGCTACAAGAAACTAGAATAAAGTATTTTGGATTATATTCAGGTTTTGAATTTGAGAGATCAAATACTTTTGGTTTTCAATATTTTGGTTTCAAATGATCTTTTGGATTCTTAAGATTCATGATACATGCTTCTTGTTGTTCTCAAGGTTCTACAATATTTTGGATTATATGGTAAACAAATAAATATTGCCAACTGCAAACATATTGTGTACACTGGTTATGTTTTGCAGAATGATGATTCCATATACTGGTACCATATGTCGCAAGATTTACAGTGGATTTGATTGTACTGAAATTTTTACTCACTATGCATTGGCAAGGAATTTTTTTTTTTTATTGGTTGAAGACTAGTTCTCTGTTTCGAATTAGAATCATCCACATATATATACAGAGTTGTAGCCTAATCCGTCCATGATTCTACACTAGTTCCGTTCATAATGCAGCTTCTTATAATGCATAATAGTTGGCTGATCTAAGAGTTGGGTTATCAAGATGGTCTAGCCCTTTCTTGGTTAAATAGTATGAGGAAATTTGATTAGAGGGTTTCTCAGCCATCTTTGCCCAATGAAAATACACAAAATTTAAGAATAAAGACGACGACGTCAAATATATCTTTGTAGAAGTTGCAAAGAGAAAAGATAGCCCAGAAATCATGGTAACATAAATAACAAATGATCAAATCCCTAGAAATAAGAAATTGTGCTGATTGCTAACATCTCTAGCCTTTATGGCAACAGCAAAGCCTCTCAAAGTATACCTAATCGTTGAGTTTCTTGAAAGCATTTTCTGTTGTGGTTCATTAATAACATCTTGAGGTTCACGCTTCCCTCAAGGACTGAAGAATTCTTATTAACTCACAAGCTTTGTTTTCATCAATATTTTGCAAGATTCCAAGGTAGATATGATTTTACCAAGCTTGTCTATGGCTTCTGATTCCAGGTTCACCTCTCTCAGACTCGCTTTATGAACCTGGCAAGTCTTTTTATATACATGGTATTTATGTTATGGGGTAAAAAGCTTGATCTAGATTTTACCCAAGCATAAGAAGCTTTTACACTTCTGAGAAAATAAATGTTGAACCTGTGAAACTATTAACAACAGCTTGATCTTTAAACATTAGAGTCAAATGGTATGCATTATATCTTAGGACTAATGATGTCAGGAAATATGACTATCATTTAATCAATGAAAAAGCATCACTACTCCCTCAATCAAACAACAGGTATTTTGTTGCCTCCTATGTTTAGTATGACTACAAAAATTGCTTGAAGTGTTAAACCTTCTTCTACGGGAACAATCATTGCAAGTAATATAATTTACTCTATTGTTAACCAAATTAGAAGCACTCTCCCAAATATCCATCATCTTTACATGAGTGGAAGTTCTTAGAACCATAAATATACATTCCATGGAGAAAGCATCAATCAATTTTCCTGATGAGAAGTTCACCTTCTATTGGATGAACTACATGTTTTCCAAACACGAGATTCAATACAAGAACATTATAGAAATTAAAACTTCATCAGTTGAATTCAAGTCTTACTTTGATAAATCCCATATGTAAGGACCCAACTTGCACAAATTCCCACCAAATAGATTATTTATTGTTGAATACTTTCAAATGCCTCACAACTGTATATGCTCAAACACAAAGTAAGTAATCCACTAAGATTTGTTAATTACTTACCGTATGAAATGAACACAAAGAAAGTGAAAGGGATAAACCTCTAAATCACTGTGATGCTCTTTAAGTATCTTTGCTGCACCCATAAGCATGGCAACATGCGCATCATGACCACAAGCATGCATCTTTCCAGGGATTTTACTTTTATGCTCCCACTCGACAGCTTCCTAATGAAACACACACCATTATTAGCTTCGCGCGGAAATTTCAAGATCAATTCCCAAGCAAAAAATATGAACAGTTCCACGGCCAACTTGCAATTAAAAGGGTCAAGAATGACACTTATCTTTGGTAAATCCAAATAAATAAATAAATTATACAAATTACATAAGAAGTCAAATTACAGACATGCCAGAAAAACAAAACGAAATTACCCAACAAATTTATATCTTTACTACCTGCATAGCTAAGGCATCCATATCTGCTCTAATTGCCACAAAAGGTGACTTTCCTGAGCCAATATAGCCAACAACACCAGTAACAGCAATTGGGTACTTATAGGGGATGCCCAATTTATCAAGCTCGTTTCTAATAAGCTTACTGGTCTCAAATTCCTCAAAACCAAGTTCCGGGTTCTCATGTATAGCCCTCCTAATGTTCACCATATACTCAAAAACCTCTGGCCGTTTGGCCAAATTGAAGAATTTTGATGGGATTTCTGCAAACCCTTCCTTGCTCAGAAAAGAGTGAGACAGAGTGGGCTTCGTTGATAACAGCATGCACAGATTGAACAACAAAGAAATCCATGAGAAAAAACCCATAAATTGCTCTAATAATCAGTACTGGTTGACTATCTCTAGTGTGTAAGAGTTTTTCACTAGGAGATGGGTATCTTGTAATCTGGACTTTTGACTGTGGAACCCAGAAAGGGTTTTGTCGCTTAGTGAACGCTAACCAACAAAACCCTATTAAAAACTTCCAATTCATACATGGAGGCGCCATTTGTAGTTGAGTGAAAGTATTCTCAGACCAACAACCCAGTGATCGAGACATAACTTTCCATATAATTTTTTGGGTATTTCCATTTCAGTTCCTATCATCATAGTCGCTTATTGAGATGTATAGATTCTGATTTATGAATAACAGAGGAACCGGGATCATCCCGACATCCCCACAGGCCATAGCAATTTTCTCAAATGTACGGTTCCCCT